TATTGGAACACACTTGCAGACCGGTTTCGGGCTGTTTGGCCACTCGTCAGTGCAAGGTAGTGTATATCATCAACATAAAGTCGATGATTTCCGATAATTGAAAATCGAATTCCGTCAGAGTATCATTCCTCGGACTAAGCTGAAGACTACAACAAACAACAGGTTTGTCGTCGCCCCCTCTGCCTGTGAACGAGGTAACCAACTGCATATCCGAAATTTGCCCAATTCCTCGTATAAGGAAAGAAATCTTTCACGTATAGTCAGTGGGCATACTGACTGGCAACGTGTTTGCAACATGCTTGAGCGATTATCGATATGGCTTTCGAAAACAAAGACCAACAGACGAACTTCTATCGTATGTCACCCATACTTGGAATAACGCAATCGATGAACTTTGAGAATCAAGAGCTGTGGCGCTTGATATTCCCAAAGCCTTTGACCGTGTATGGCATGAGGGCTTGCTGGCCAGAAAAAACGTTCCCTGCAAGTGGCAGTCGCAATTACGCAATATTCAAAATCAACTATTGATTATGTATGTACTACTACTACTAACCTGAATACTGAATCTGTTTTTTGCGAGGTATTCCCTCAGGTTTGTCAGACCACGAAGTCATCCACTTTAATGTTGAATTAGACTACAACAATGAAAATTGTTCGAAATTCAAATATGGAAGACTGTTCTGTGCTAGAAATTATAATAGGTTCTACGACTGAAATATAGACTGGAATCAAATTCTACTATCTGAAGATCCCTTTCTAGAATACTATAGCATGTTATTGTTCACATTCAATAATAGATTTCCGATACAAAAAATTAAAATAAAAAATAATGATCAGAAAGAATGGATAACAAAAGGAATAAAGGTGTCTGCTACCGCAGAATATACAGAAACACCATAAAACTAGCTAAAACTCTTTATTATACTCACAGAATAAACAAAGAAAGCAATAAGTCAAGAGAAACATGGAAGATAATTAATGATCTCAGGAGAAAGGGAAGAAAGCAAAAATTGGACGCTCCATTATCATCCACCGATTTCAATAACTATTTTTGCATGACGGGAGAAAAATTAACTGAAAATATTCACATTCCGTATGATCCACTTGATAATTTGATTGATATTGATATAGCAGATAATTTTATTCTATATGACACAAACCTCTCAGAATGGAAAAACCTCTCAAGTGGAAAGGAGTCTTTAGGGAGATAAAAAATAAACACACTTCAGGAATTGTCGTGTCGACACGTGTCGAGGTGTTAAAAATAACGATTTGGTGTTGGGGAAAAAACTCCAGTAATATTTATTTTACCAATTACCAAATTTTTGATACCTGGTGATATATTATGGCAATTTTCGTAGGATCTCCTCTTCATAATATTAGCAAAGATATTTAATCTGCAATATTAGTTTAGATTCAGATAATCTTCGAAAAATATCAAGAGATTCTTCACAAATACGAATTATTTTAATATACATACTCGGAAAACTTTAGCGAGAATATAGAAAAAACCCAATAATAATAATGAGCCATCCATTCAAAACAAGTTATGATTGCAATATTGCATTTGAAGTGTTATTACCTGTTACATTGCGTTGCACTGCTGCCTCCTTAGCATTTTTAGCCGACGTGTTATTACCTGGTACATTCTGTTGCACTGCTGTCTCCTTGGCATATTTGGTCGGAGTGTTATTACCTTTTACATAGCGTTGCACTACTGCCACCTCAGCATCTTTTAGAATGGGCTTCCAAATCCGGTTAAGCGTTATCGCCTCCTCTTGTTCTGTTGTGTAGTTTTCTGTATGTTCATGGATTACTATGGCTTCCCGTACAAGCCGACTGTTGTATCCATGATCGGGTGCAAGTAGTTTCACATCTTCAAACAGTATCATATAATCTCCTTCACTAAACGCGTGTTCCGCTACTGCCGATTTTTCTGTTTGACCTAATCTACAGTTTCTCCGGTACTCATTCAGCCTTGGTGGTACCAATATACACTTTTCCGCAGGTGCATGGTATACGGTATACCCCCGCAGCTGATAGTGGATCTCTTTTGTCTTTCGCAGATCTCAGGCTTTGCTGTATTTTCCAAACATGCGCCACACTACTGACTGGCATAAGAAAACAAGTATAGCTGAGGCACCAGTCAATCTAATAATAACACTGATGATCTTCAAACATGACACAACCTCTGACGTAAGCACCAAACTCTTACGAAGATACGAAATAGATGAACACTTATACTATTCATGCAGTCATTGTTCACTGTGGTTCTGGCGTTGAATCCGGTCATTATTACGCCTTGGTTGAAGACGAAACGGACTGGTTTAAGTTTGACGATAGTCGTGTCACGAAGTGTTCTGGCGATGTATTAAATCTATTGGAGCCTCTGGAGACACCCTTCATTTTGTTTTATGAGAGAGAGGACATTGGCAGATCTTCAGATGATGTGGTGCTGCAGGTTTTTCCGGGTTTTCCTACAGCTGAAAAAGCAAATGATGCGCCACTGGAATCATTAAGTCACCCCAGAGTGCCAATTAATTTTTATTGTTGTTTTATAATTTCATTAGATTGTTATTAATTTATGTTTGATTATAATCAAATTTGAAATTTCATAGTATTGGTTAATTTTCATTTTTGTATTCTTTTTCTGGAGTTCCGAAACTCACTATCTTCTGAACAAAAAGATACAAATTTCCAAAAGCAAAGCAGCAATGGAATTTGAAAGCTCCTTCGATGAGAAGTCGTGCAACCTCCATTTCAATTTAAGTTGAATGTTTTGCAATGGTATTTCGGTTGAAAATTGCCCCCTTCAAAAACACATTTTTTTCTTGACAATTATGCTTCGCGATACTTTTTTCATAGCCTACTGTATATAATCCTTACTAATCAACTTATTAATACACAAAACTATGAATCCCATAAACTAGCGAAAATAAAATAAAAAACGATCGCAAAGTGATATCGTTAAGACATTATTATCCAAAACTGGAAATCAAAAAAATAATAGCATTCTTCTTTCGATTATATAAAGGAACTGCGACCACTTGATGCATCAGTGTCTCAATCCATTTTAATCTCCAATTTGTCAACTAAGATCATCTTAAAAATGATCAAGGTTAGTAAATATAATTTTGTTTTGCAATCATAATTTGACTTGAATCGATGGCTCACTATTATTATTATTGATATACACTGGTTGGTGTTTCATTTATGTATATTGGAATGTTTCTCAATTGAAAAATCTGTTGATTTACCTATTATTCAAGTGTATCTGAATCGAAATTATTATGGAATAGTGATCCTAGGAAAATTATATGATGTAATTGGCTTAGGAAAATCACCAAAGCATCAAAAATTCGTCTGTGAGTTAATTATTTATGCGTTCACCGGAAAATCACTGGTTTCGTATGTGTCGAAGTTATTTCCAGGCAAAAAATTGATATAGGTAAATTCCAAAAATATAAACTTTGGAATTCATGTGAAATGAGTATTTTCAAATTATCAAGTTCCAAAAATTTCAATGGGGAGTGTTCTTCAATTTGGGTTATTACAGCAAAAGCAAGTTTGAACAAAATAAAGTTGAGTTTAATTCATGNCCATCTTGATACACAAAAAGTGGGAATTTTCCAAAGAAAGGAAGGAAACAATCAATTTGAAAAGTGATAAATGTATACATAGATGTGTAGATCATGCAAAGAACTAAACTTCAGACACAAACTGAAAGAAAAAACCCTCCTGAAACAGCTACTTTCATAAAAACATTGAATTACACGAAAAAAATATTTCGAAACAAATGCTTTTATATGAACACTGAATTATACAAAAAACACTTTTTCCTACTCAGTTTGTATTTCAAACATTCGATATGGAATTAAACCAGATATCATTCACAGGATTCCTACACAATATATTATAACATTATAAGAAAAAACACACAATTCTGGATAACAAACTGGATACGATGACATCGTAAGGGTTTTTGTTTAAATTGATGTCCCACAAACCAACAGTCAAGAAGCCAGTTCTCAAAATCCGAACTTGATTTTATGTTGTTCACAAAACTAGAAAAAACTGTTCATTAGAACCAAAATATCATCTGCGTAATGATAAAAAAATGAGAATTTGAAATGTCAAATATTACTAATTTTGACAAAATGAAATGCTGTACGATTACAAAATATGTGTCAGTTTCAATCTCTTCGAGTCCAATTATACTCTTGTTCCAGGAAACCCTTATCCTGTTATCAGTGGCCGCAATTTTCGCATACGGTGCTCCAGCAAATGACGGCGAAAACGGACACTCTGACCTTCAGGCTGCTGAGAGTCGATACTACCCCAACAATGGATACTATGGCAACAACGGCTACTATAAAAATAGTGGATACAACAATGGATATGGCTATTCGAATGGTTACCAGAATTATGGCAACACTGGATGGGGAGGAAACTATAACAGGCATGGAAAGGGACATGGAGGGTACGGAAGACATTGGTAGAAGATAGAGAGTTTTTTACTGAAGGTCAAATGTATATTCTAAATGTTCCTTGTGTATAAAATATGTTACATTGATTTACTAGTCTTTCATTTTCTTCATTGAACACTCAGTTGACAGTGTTAGACTACTGACAATACATTCATCAAAAGTAACGATTGAGTGGAATATTGCCAATGTTGCTGATATCAGGTATCTACATAATTTCCAAAAAATCAATAATACTAATAATACGTTTATTATTTACCAAAAATTCATAACCAATATTAAGTTTCAATAAAAAAAACTAGATAAATAAAAGGTGAGAGTTCACTTCTCTTTCAACACCAGGAAGAGGGAAACTGGTTTTCCACTCAGACCCTTACTACAAACTAAACTTAAAACTAAGATATACCTACTGACTAGTACCAGTAAACAAGAAAAAGAAGAAGATGACTAGAGAGAAGCTAGAGAAAAAAAAGATAAAAGAGAGAGAGAAAAGATAGGAACCCATTTTATAATTTATTTTCACTTGTGAGGGCAGTGATACCTTTAGGTCATGAAACCGCCAGGTTGCATGACGACGCTGTGAGAATTTTAGTTTTTTGCTTGGTTTTAGGAAGAGTAAATCAATTGAATCTGCATTTTACCAACTATTGAACTATATTTATGCACAAGTGTATAATAATAACCTAGTTTTTTCACTTTTTTAAGACCTATCAAAAGTATTCGATACTATTTCTTCTAAATTTCTATTGAAAAAATTACTAGTAATGGGCTTTCCCAATAATATGTGTTGTGTTGGATAGAATCGTACATGGAAAACCGTAGTTTGGTGGTTAAATGTAATGGAATTACATCAGTTCCTCATGATGAGAAACTAGGTGTTCCGCAAGGATCTGTTCTGGGTCCATTGTTATTCTTGACTTGCCTGAATTCATATCAGATTGTCTCATAACTATGTTCGCTGACGATACTACAATCACTGTTTCTGCAAAAAACGAGAATTAATTATCAATGAAAATTAATTTAGTCAGTAGTTGGTGTCGATGTAACAAACTGATTTTAAATAAATCTAAGTCAGTGCTGATGAAAACATTTGTTAGGAGGGATTTCTGTTGTAATTTAGTCACTGTGAAAGACATAAAGATATCAAAAGAAGTTGATTTTCTTGGAACTATTTTAGATGAGAATCTCAACTGGAGTAGTCATACAAAAAGTGTGCAGTAAACTTAATTCAGCTTATTATTCGATCAAACAGTTAAAACATTGTTTAGATAGGTTTGGTTTACTAAATGTTTACTTTTTGCGAATGCATACTCCCACATCAGTTTCAACATAATGGCTTGGGGATGTGCGAAGGAATTTTCTAGAGTTTTCATTTCTCAAAAACGACTGATAAGATTGATATTCAACCTGGGGTACCGAAAAAGTTGTAGACCCGTTTTCAAAAGAGAACGCTTGTTGACTGCTCCCGCAATTCATATAATGAAATGTGTCATTTTTGTGCACAGGAACCCTGGCTTGTACATAACGAACTTGAGCATTCACGGTCGTGATACTCGCCATGCTACTGCTCTGAGGATCCCTTCACATAACAGTGATCATTTCAAAAAATCTCCATTATAATATAATTCCATAATTTTTAATATGCATAAAAATGAATTTAAAAAATACAAGAAAAACACACAAGGTAAAAATGAAAAATATATCTAGTGTTTTAGAGAGTGATTTTCAATATTAACACATGCATGGACAAAGCAATATATCTCTGAAAATATATATCAACAAATGAGTTTATAATCAGAAGGGACTTAACCAACAACGCATTTAGTCAAGATAGCGTAGAGATACGTAACATATGGAAACCTCTAGTCAAGCGAAAAATGACCAACTCCCGCCAAACGGTCATATCCCGCTGAAGGCACTCGAACGACCTATCAATAGCCAGATCTCGGAGATGCAAAAATTCAGTTAGGAATAACGCGACAAACAAGAGCCAAATAATAAAAAACGCGAAGTTAGATAGGGAAATAAAAGCACCTAAAGGCTGGTTTCCAACCCAAAAAGAGGATAGATTTCAATCTTGCTGAAGTGCCTAGCAGCTGGATTGAGGACCGTTTCCTTAAGAAACGGGGGTGGAAGGAAAGGGTCGCCAGGTCCAAACCTTCTAGCCGGTAGGCCTTACATCAGGCATCTTCCCATTATCTATCGCCACCACTGTCAAACTCAACCCCTCCCCGAACCACCGTTACAAGGCGACGGCTATACGGAGAGACGAATCAACGGGGTAGAAGACCCTCTTTTTTCTTTTATTTCCCCAAAAAATAAATACATATAACATCAATCATGAACTCAAAACATTATGGCTCCTTGAACACTAATCATACTTGATAGCAAAAACATAAATAAAAAAACTGGAATACATTATAGCTATTCCAGCATTAATCAAACAAATTATACTTAAATTTGTTTTTCGTTACCCAACCCCTATACATATAAGTTGTACATGTTATGTTGTACATCCCTGGATATGTTTACAGTCTAGCAGTTTCGCTTCCAGCCATGATTGACGAAACTATATCCCCTCCTTTTAGTGTTTGCCACGCTTGTTTGAGTGCAGCTCCACATCTATCATTCCCTTTCTTCCCTCACCACATTCTCCGCCCAGTCGTTAACATAACGTATCCATTCATCATTTTTCCCATTTGTATCTTTCAGCATGATTTCGCCATTCATCCTTATCCTTTCCTACTATTCTCGCCAACCAATCCTGTCCCCGTTCATGCATCTATCGAGCACGTGTTCTGCCGTTTCAGGCTCCCCGTACTCACAGGGACAGGGAACCTCCGGGCCCAGGTCAAATCTTGCCAGGTATTCCGGAAAGTTCCCATGCCCAGTAAACAGTTGGACAGGCTTCCGCGACAGATCCAAGGATTCCTATCCGACTGTTCTGCAGAACCTGTAGAGCAACCGTCCAGTCGTACCTCTCTCCCTCTGCCATTCTCTCCTAATATTTTATTATTTTCCTCTCATCCGTTTTGCTATATGTCTACCTTACTTCCAAAGTAATGTCTGCTCTATTCGTGCCCTTAGTGGATTCTTCGTTTGCCTTCGCATTTCCTTTATTGTTCCAATCGTGCCCCCTCTTTCACGTAATCAGGGTATGTACTCCACTACCATTCCTTTCCTCAATCATCCGCTGAATCATCACTGCCCTTTTACTCCCCACTCTTCCTGCTTTCACTCTTTCTACCACCATCGCAGAGTCACTGACTACTTTCACGCTCTCTTAAATGCCCATCCTATACCAATTCTTTCTTCCTCCATCCTTGCTCCGGTATCTACATATACCTACTTCACTCAACCCTTCGTCCTCCCTCTCCTCCAGCAACTTCCCTTGCAATCAGGGGAATATCCTATCTACTCCTTTCACCCTGTCCTCAGATTTCCCTGTCCCATTCTCTCTCCATTCTTGGTACCTGGCCCGTCCTTTTATCTGTAATCCAGGTCCTGGTTTCCAGGACATCGGCTGAGCAAGCAGGAGGTTGCTTATCTTAATGAGGATCTAGAAGTGATTTCGAATTGGGGAGAAAGTAACCAGGTTCAGTTCCATGCCACATAAACCCAGGCATCAGTTTTCTCCGAAAAATGGGCACCAATAATATGTCTTGGCGCAATCATGTCGCTGGAATTGCAAAGGCTGCTTCTCAAGAACTTGGAACGCTGTTCCGAACCAGAAAACTGTATACACACCTCAGCAACTTTCGGATGCTTTATAAGGCTCACATCAGACCTGCTTTGGAGTATTTTTCTCATGTATGGAGCTCCACCCCAAAGCATAACCAGAAGCTGCTGGATTCTATCCAGAAAAGAGTCATCCGCCTGATTGGTGACACGAAGATCACTTGCAACCTTAATAGTCTAAAACATCGAAAAAAAGGTTGTAGATTTGTCTCTCTTTCATAGATACTTTCATAGGAGGTGTTCAAGTGACTTGGCACCGTTGACTCCACTAAGAGCGGTACATATTCAACTCAGTATACCTCGAAATTCACTGTTCAAGATCTCTTTCCATTTGGAGAACTGCGTTTATGGGGAAAAACTATCCTGATAACGTTTTTCCAAATGGATTTCATCTTCAGCGACTCAAATCCAATGTCAATCGCTACTTTGGTAAGGGCGCCGCTCTTAGACGTTCCTGTAGTGCTTGTGTTTTGTCCTTGAAAAAAGATATTCGGAATGACCCAGTAAATTATAGATTAATAGCTCTCATACCTACACTAGCTGAAATAATGGAAAGATTAGTTAGCCTTAAAGAGGTGACATTTTTTGAAAAGCATAACATCCTTGTGACCGATAGCCAACTTGATTTCAGACAAGATGGAGCCCAGCTCCCTTACCCTTTTGGCTGATTATTGTCGAAGAAGGACAAATGAGTTTATGACTTAGGGGATATTGGCGGTGTGAAGTCCTCAGACATTAGTACCGCCCTTCACGGGGTACCCCTACCTGGCTGGGGTGGGATGGATGAAAAATATCTATTCGTCCTTTAACGGGGGACATGAGGGTCTCATTCGACAGAGTGTCGGGGCCTTCTATATCGGAAGGGGTCGTCTACAGCATAATCTTTAGCTTCCCTAATTAACGGATTTTCGTGAGTTTCCGCGCTATCAAAAACTCGCTGATTCCTCGACTGAATGGGGACACATCCTTGTGACTCATGAAATACTGTATCAGAAACTTCAGCACTACGGAATCAATCTGCAGTGTGGTATTAGCCGGGAAAGCTAAATATTCATTTTTTCAGACGTAGCCTCATTTTTACTTCCTATTCATGAAAATTCTATATTTCCAATGGAAAAATAAAAAATTGTATTCTTTTGAATTGTTTTTAATACTGCGGCACATACAGTCTCTGCAGCAGCAGCAGTAGTAGTAGTAATAATAATAGTAGTTACAGTACTAGCTCTGTATATAGACTAGACTAGTATATAGACTAGACTATATACAAAGGTACTAGTGAGTAATGGTAACGAAGCACGTTTGAATCAAATTTCATATCCATCCAAGACTCTCTGAAACCATTTGATTCTGATAGTTTATCAAAATGAAAGTTTCACATAATGCTAATGGAAAAATATATGTAAGTGAATTATTATGAAATTCCTATTTCCACAACTCTTGGGCACCATTCTACAGCTTACATTAAAAGTCAATAGATGTCGCATATTACACGGAGAAAAGAAGTTCAAATGTTGGCAACATTTTGTTTTGGTTGTCTCTGATACTGTCAAATTTTCAAATTCGATAGGCATTGTATATTTCACCGTGAGATTTTTTTGCATCGGTTTTGAAAGAATAATACAAAGTAATACATAAAGGATGGCCGTAAGTTGAAATTTTTGAACAAATATTTGTAACTTAGAAGGATATCCTACAAATTGTCAAAACAAACAAAATTTCCGGTGTATTTTAACCTCAAAATCTCATTTCCACACTACAAGTATTCGTTAATACCTTCGAATTTCAGGCTGCAGCTGCTGCGAAAATCGTAGAAGTTCGAGAGTCAACTAAAGTTGAACGAATAGGAGCTCACTCCCATATAAGAGGTTTAGGTTTAGATGACAGTCTTGAGGCTAGGCATGTAAGTTGATGATCTCATCACAAGAAGATGAATATTCCTATCAATGGCATTATCGAAATAACAATTTTTAGGTTTCACAAGGAATGGTTGGACAAGTTTCGGCACGACGTGCCATTGGTGTCGTACTCCAAATGGTACGAGAAGGTAGAATAGCTGGTAGAGCAGTTTTGTTGGCTGGACAACCAGGTATTGATCAAACATTATCAAGTACATGAGGAATAGTACATTGATTTTTTTATTGAAACTATAAGTTATGTTGTAGGTACAACTTTTAAATTAACAATTGTACAATATTTGAAACTTACAAAGGAGAGAAGATAAAAAATTACAGATCAAAATTATTCATGAAAATGGATAGATCGTCCACAGATGTTTATTTCGGATTCATTTCTAAAAAAAATGAATTTGTAAATCAAACTATTTTCGCTTGCTAACAAAAAATTACAAAGAAGTCGCTTCTTAATTTATGATGGAAGTTGAGGAATATAATTCTTATTAAGTGCTACCCAACTGAATTATATAGAATTCCACTCGAAAAATCACTTGAAATTTCAAACTCCACCTAAAGTTTTTAATAAAATGACTTAAAAAATGACTCACTTTAAACGTTCTCTAGCTGAGTATCTGAAATCTCAATACGACACAATCTAAGCTAGTGATCATTTTCAACCTATATAACAGTTCAATTTATTTTGTTCATGTTCCTCTTCCAATTACTTTTATGAAAAACAATGCAACTTTTTTAAGTTCTAGATGTTTGTCCAGTATATGATTTGTTACAATGCATGCAATTAATTTTGTAAATTGTATTACAATATCATCACAATACTGTGTTGTGAAGCCCGAAGATACTATCGTATAGCGATATATATGTTATAATGGATTTACATCTAGTATCTGTCGGTTTTACCATATTTTTCAAGTATTAGCAAGGTCCAACTCAATAAAAGCAGCTGGTTTTCATAATACTAGCAAGTGATACATTTTGTGGACAAACATACAAATGCAGACCCATTTAAATAATTTCGTATATTACTTTTGTTCATTTGTTGTTGAAACAATAACTTTATTATTATTATTAAGAATACATACCTACATACCACGGCACAGTAGAATAAATATTTATCGAGATGTGGGCCTACAAACACTTCTGAAACAACCTAAAAATAATTGTGTATTATGAAGAACAATGTAATTTTAGGTATAGTGGGTAGCTATTCTTTTGGATCACAATAGTATTGCAGTGAAAGCTTTACTTATAAATATTGTTTCTGAATCTTCACTCTTCTTAAACTTATCATTTTTCAGGAACTGGCAAAACAGCCATTGCTACAGCTTTAGCAGCAGCTTTAGGTGTTGACACTCCCTTCACTAGCATGGCTGGATCTGAAATATATTCTCTAGAGATGAGTAAGACTGAAGCTATAACGCAGGCCATTAGAAAGAGTATTGGCGTTAGAATAAAGTAAGTTTAGTATTGAAAATTATGTGACATGCTGTAACTTGGTTAATTTTTACTAGGGAAGAGAGCGAGATCATCGAGGGTGAAGTAGTTGAGGTACAGATTGAACGACCAGCTACAGGGGTCGGTACAAAAGTAGGGAAACTCATTTTGAAAACCACCGATATGGAAACTGTCTATGATCTTGGTGGAAAGATGATCGACAGTATTTTGAAGGAGAAAGTTCAGTCTGGAGATGTAATCACTATAGATAAAGCTACAGGTGAGGAATGTTATGGAATATATGAAAAAAAAAAAAAAGGTAAATATAATTTTCTCATTTTGGTTATTTTTAGGAAAAATCACTAGGTTAGGCAGGTCATTTGCAAGAGCTAGAGATTACGATGCTACTGGGCAACAAACGAGGTTCGTACAATGCCCTGAAGGTGAACTCCAGAAGAGAAAAGAAGTGGTCCATACTGTTACATTGCACGAAATCGATGTCATAAACAGCAGAACGCATGGTTTCTTAGCTTTGTTTTCAGGTAAGCTGATATGGATATCAGATCTTAAAAATAGATCCCACTAGCTAACTCACCTTTCTGAACTACTAGGTGATACCGGAGAAATCAAAGCTGAGGTCCGCGAGCAAATCAACGGCAAAGTAGCGGAATGGCGAGAGGAGGGTAAAGCCGAAATTATTCCAGGGGTTTTGTTCATCGACGAAGTCCACATGCTCGACATCGAGTGTTTCTCGTTCCTGAACAGGGCTCTGGAAAACGAAATGTCCCCGATCGTTATGATGGCAACGAACAGGGGCATCACCAAGATCAGAGGGACGACCTACAAGTCACCTCACGGCATCCCATTAGATCTGCTGGACAGGACGATAATAGTGCCTACTCAGCCATACGAGGAGAAGGAGTTGAAGGAGATTTTGAGGTGAGGGCAATGAATTAGCTACAAAACATAGCATAACCCGGTCATTTTCTTTTTTACTTTCTTTGGAAATCCCCCACATTTTTTGTTTAATAATGAAGAAGAAAGCCAAAAGTTTCTCGAAAAACCTATATCCATTATCATATTTCTGTTTGTTTTTTGAGATTGATGGTAGGCCTTGGTTGTACATCTGCTTCTTTCTGATTTATCTGTTGTAAATCTGTCGAATGTTCATGCTCTGCTCGTGTTTCTGTTATTATTCGATAGATGGCGCTAGCATCCACTTCTCTATTTGAAATAATAGGCGTTTTAAGTTCCTTTACTGTCATCGCAAAAAGTTCTAGAATGTAAAATGAAACGTGAGAAGGTAGATCATCGATTGTGTTTTGGGATGCCAGCAAATGTTTCTGTAACCTTTGAAAATATATCATAATATCAGTTTAGATTTCATACCAAACAGGTAACCTCACAAATTAACGAATTTGTTTCATTTCAAGCATCCGTTGCGAGGAAGAAGACTGTCAGATGTCAGACACTGCCCTGGCTGTTCTCACTCGCATTTGCAAAGAGACCTCTTTGCGTTACGGCATGCAACTTATCATGACTTCGAGTCTCATAGCGAGGAAACGCAAAGCTCACGAGGTAGACGTTCAAGACATTAAAAGGGCTTACGAGCTGTTCTTTGATGAAGGCAGATCTGTGCAGTTTTTGAGGGAGTACCAACAGGAGTTCATGTTCAATGATTGTGAGTATTTTCATTCAAAATTAAAATGGTTTGTGTACTTTGAAATTTATGATTTTGTATTATTGACTGGTATTATTAGTTACTGATTTTTTTTTCAGTGGATGACAAAGATGATATGGAAATCGAAACAAATTAGTTTTTAATATTAATTATGGTGTTTCTATACTTGCTGTACTTGTTCAAGATTCCATTAAAGTATTTTTTATTCTCTCAGTTGTTTTTCTTAAACGGGATAAATAAAAAAATCTGAAGTTAAACTTAGATAGGTAGATAGATAGATAGACATGTTTATTTACTTCACAGAGTATTTGTAGTCCTACATGAAAACAGTGGCAGAAAACGTCTGTGAAAGTACGTCACAAAATCTGAATCTTACTTAAATTTCAAGAATATGGAATTTCGTTGTCTATAAAAGTACGTTATAAATTACAAATATACACTTGTGTCCAAGATAAGAATGAACAGTATAGGGATATCGGAATAGGTGATACGGGGTCCATTGAATTAGAGAAAAGTAGCGCATTTATGTGCCTGATAATATGCCATTTAGAAAGTTTTAATATTGCGAGTAGTTTCGGAGATCTCCGAGAAAAACCAAAGTTAGAGAATTTCGTTTTTTTTTTCTCCTAGCTTAATTTTCAAAGGAAATGTAAAACAAATAGCACTTTGCCATGATCACTTTTTAAGGACTACACAATAACGTGAGCAGAATTTTTCTGCGACGTTTCGTCTTCCAAAAACATCATCAACATTGTATTTTTATATGAGCCGAAACTAAAGTATACCCTTTATAACAATAATTTATTGCACAAAGGAAACCGTTACAACATATAAGTATCATAAGCTAACCTAAATAATTTACAACAAAGTGGGGAAACCTGTAAGAAATCAAATTCTTGTATAGGTTGAAAAGATGCATAAGTTTAAATAATAGCGGCTGCAACAGCAATTTCGGATCATTTTGGATGTAACCTAATTCTACCATGCACTTTTGCCAAGAATATTGTTCAAAATGAATTCGATCTCTCAGAAATTTCACAGCTTGAAGTTTTGAAAACTTTAGATAATATGAGGAACAAAAATTCAGCTGCTATTGATGATATGTCTATTGTTACTGTAAAGCAAATTATTGATATAATTATTGAACCATTAGTTTTTTTCTAGAGTTTTCATTTCTCAAAAACGACTGATAAGATTGATATTCAACCTGGGGTACCGAAAAAGTTGTAGACCCGTTTTCAAAAGAGAACGCTTGTTGACTGCTCCCGCAATTCATATAATGAAATGTGTCATTTTTGTGCACAGGAACCCTGGCTTGTACATAACGAACTTGAGCATTCACGGTCGTGATACTCGCCATGCTACTGCTCTGAGGATCCCTTCACATAACAGTGATCATTTCAAAAAATCTCCATTATAATATAATTCCATAAATTTTTATATGCATAAAAATGAATTTAAAAAATACAAGAAAAACACACGAGGTAAAAATGAAAAATATAACTAGTGTTTTAGAGAGTGATTTTCAATATTAACACATGCATGGACAAAGCAATATATCTCTGAAAATATATATCAACAAATGAGTTTATGATCAGAAGGGACTTAACCAATAACGCATTTAGTCAAGCTAGCGTAGAGATACGTAACGTATGGAAACCTCTAGTCAAGCGAAAAATGACCAACTCCCGCCAAACGGTCATATCCCGCTAAAACCAATGAAGCGGAGAGACGGAAGAGGGGATAGCTGAAATCACTCGAATGACCTATAAATAGCCAGATCTCGGAGAAATAAGTCCATCATTCATACCATCAGTCATGAACCCATTGGTCCTTCTCGAAACCAATAATCAGCCGAAAGGGTAGGGGAGCTGATTTGTAGATGTATATCAACCCTCGAGGTCGATTTGATATAACCTTTCAACTTATTTTTGAATTGTTCGATATTATTAATTTCTGAGATATATTGCGGAAGGCGCCCGTACAGTTTCGGGCCCAAAAATTCAAAATTCTTCTGCCCATTAGACTTTAAAGCTGGAGGAGGCAAGTAAGTATTGTGTTTCTGTCTTGTGTTATAGTGGTGTTCATTAGTGATCAAAGTGGATTTAGTTTTATGCTGTTCAACATTCAAATTGAAAAAAATAGCTGTCTCGGGTCTAAGATTTCAGTTTCAGAGTAAAGAAGGTCTAAAGAGTATCGGATTGTTTTACAGAATGAAGTTTTGATAATTTTTTCTGTGCTATCACTAAATCAATAATAATAGTTTTTTCGGCTGCCCGCGAAGCTACTATTTCATAAGCTATATGCGATTCTACTAATGCCTGATACACTGTTTTCAGTTGGATTTTGTTCAAAATATATCTGACGTTTTTCAGTTTGTAAATTATAAAATATAGTTTTTTGATCACATACGCGACATGCTTATTCCACTTGAGGTGACTGTCAATAAATCACACCTAGATATTTAAATTCAAATGTAGATTCTATTGAAAAATCATCATAAATGTTTAAAGTAGTGAAGGACGGCAAAGTGTATTTATTATTGGATAGTGCTAGGGTTTATGGTCAGCAACGTATCACACAATATGATTTCATTACCATTTCTCATTCAAAATGAAAAGTGATTACTTAAACCTGTTCTGTTGTCATAATAAGACTGTTGTTTGGTAGAATTTTCGACATATTACCGTTCCTTCTTTAACATCACATTACCTCTACCTGAATTGTGTTGAAAATGGAAAACGGCAGCTTTTCGAATACTGAAAAATTTGATATGTTGTCATGTTACATCTTGTGCCAAAGAAATTGTGTTCGATGCTGAACGTGCGTACTCTAATAAGTATCCAGAGAGGCGACAACCTGGTAAATCAATATTTAGACGTTTAGTTCTTAATTTAAAAGAATACGGATCATTTAAAAAACCGACAAAAGCAATCTAACAAAGAAAGTCGGCGTGATTTGTTACATGCCGTTCACCAAGATCACCAACAATGGCATTTTAATAAGCGAAATGTTCATTATTGCTCACAACAAAACCAGCGTGTACACAAAGTGCCCAGACATCAACATTGTTTCGATTTATCTACCAAAACAATTTAACAAAAGAGCGGTACATTATTTTGTTAGTAAATGATTTGGAAGACGCTCTAGCTAGATAATATGCCTTTAGCGGTTACTCACAGCTGCTGGTTTCAACAAGATGGTGCTCCAGCACATATTGCTAGAATTGTTTGTGATTATTTGAACAGGACAGTGGATTGGTACTTATAGTGATACATCCTGGCCTGCAAGGTTCCCCGACCTAACCCCACTAGACTTTTTCCTTTGGGGATATATCAAGAATTAAGTGTACCCTCATAATTTTCAAAATGAAGATTTGCTAAGATTGGTTACTGCATCCTTTAACAATATTGTTTCGAATATGTTATGTATCTGTAGAGTACTGAGGGTGAATGTAAGCCCACAGCACTTAGACCACATGTGACTTATTGTACAGTCTCATCTTCCTGTTCACACATCCTGCATAGAGGTGTGTCCACTAGCCCCATATTATGGAGGTGTTTCCTCAGTTGACAGCGGCCAGTCAGAAATCCCACTTTTAAGCGTAGGGTTTTCTTGGTCATCGCCAGATATTTCTTCGGCGCCAGCTTCCCAAGGTCGCCCAGAGTGATCCTGTCAAGTTTGCATCCTTTGACTACATCTCATCTCTTCAGGGATTGAACATATGGGTGTAATTGTCGCAATTGTCGAAGTCATCAGGCCGTGGCTTTGGCTAAATCCGAATATGTTAATTCAAGTTTCAAATTCGTCTGTGAGACGAGCGTAGAAAATAACGGTGGATTATTTGAACACTTGTTATAAGTTTCTGTTCATTTCCTATAATACATATTAGCTCCTTTTTATTACAATACAGTACCATTTTATAAACTAAACGTTTGATATTGCGACTCATCTTTTTATTCAACAACGCAAAAATTCCGGCAAGTTAACATTTATAGATAAGACTAATCAATTTACTTCATACTTATGATGTACTGTTTGGAACCTTTGGTATAGTAATTAATATTACTGTAGAAGATAAAACTGTTTTATTTCCTCTTCCTCTTGAAGATGATCACTTGGTGATCGAAACACGTGTCGAGGTGTAAAAATAACGATTTGGTGTTGGGAAAAAACTCCAGTAATATTAATTTACTTCATGTACCAAAACATGACATTTTTTCCAGTGCGTACTATCTGAAATTGAAGAAAAGCAGGTTAAGTAATCACTTTTCATTTTTTGCGAGAAATGGCTATGAAATCGTATATGTGATAGGTTACTGAAATCGTGATACGTTACACTGTATTCAGTATACTTTAGTTTCGGCCCATATAAAATACAAAGTTGATGTTTTCTAAAAGACGAAATGTCTCAGAAAAATTCTGCTTACGTTATCGTGTAGTCCTTTAAAAGTAGTTGGGAGAGAACCACCGTAGCGTGTGGTAGGGTAGTTGTTTTTCGACAGACGTTTACCACACCCTATACTGTGAATGTAGTTGGGAGAGATTGATATTTCGAAATTTATTTCGAGTTTGAATAAGTGAGAGCAACAATAAAACCTCGTGGGTTGCAATGAATGATCAAATAGACCCACTCACTTTGGACCTACCTACCTAACTATGAAACAATTTGTATACTGATTCCTTAATGCCAATTTTTGCAGAGGTTCTTTTTAGCTTTTGATGGTCAACAGTATCGATTGCTTATGCCTAATAGATTGATAGACTTTGTTCGTTGCCTTGTTCATCAGTGCATCAAATGTTTAATTATTTTCTCGAAAGCCATACATTTTTGATTTACTAATATATGGGACCGATCTTTGTAAAATGTTTACAATTCTTGACATCAGTAATAATGGCATATAGTAATGAATAAGCTATTTTGATCCTCATTTCATTACTGATGATGTGAGTCTCACAGAAATTATCTGTACCCATGTACAACACTTTGCTTTACCGATCTTGCTTCTCCTATGGCATCGATAAAAATCTACAACTGTATCCCCGATGATTTCAAAAACTTGTCAATCTTTAATTTCCAGAAAAAGGTTGAAGGTATTTTGCTGGATGGTACTTTAACAATTGACTTCTGAATATATTGATGAACTTAATTATGTGAAATTCATTGCACTTTGTGACATAATTATTATTTTTATTTATATTGATATGTGAATTCTTTTTCATTTGTACCATGTTTATGAGAAGGTATATTCTTTTTTTCATCTGGAAGGACCAGTTCTTGTCACTGGCACCTTCACGTGGTTGCGTGGAACAGCGCTATTCTATCGTTCTCATAAGGTAGAAGAGCGAACGATGCCATTTGCTACTCATTATTAATTAATCTTGTTCTCTGTAACTGCTGTTTGTGTAGCAATAAAAACATTTATTACTATTATTATTTGATTCGTCTCTTTTATTTAACATTCAACAGCATTCTAACACTGCCAACTGTTTGTATGAATTCCTAGTTATAAAGAAAGGAAAGAAAGATCAGAAAATCAATGTAACATATTTTATACACAAGGAACATTTAGAATATACATTTGACCCTCAGTGAAAAACTCTCTATCTTCTACCAATGTCTTCCGTACCCTCCATGTCCCTTTCCATGCCTGTTATAGTTTCCTCCCCAACCGTTGTTGCCATAATTCTGGTATCCATTCGAATAGCCATATCCATAGTTGTACCCACTATTTTTATAGTAGCCGTTGTTGCCATAGTATCCATTGTTGCCATAGTATCCATTGTTGGGGTAGTATCGACTCTCAGCAGCCTGAAGGTCAGAGTGTCCGTCTTCACCTTCATTTGCTGGAGCACCGTATGCGAAAATTGCGGCCACTGATAACAGGATAAGGGTTTCCTGGAACATAATTATAATTGGACTAGAAGAGAGTGAAACTGAAAACGTTTGTATCCTGAAAGATATTGTGACTTTGTCAAAGTTGATAATATTTGGGGTTATGTGCTTCGGTGTAGTTTGATTTCACGTACCTACTAGACCCTATTTCCTAGCTACAATGTTTCATTTATATCCAGAAAACTGAGAATATGTTGTAATAACTGTATTATAATTATGCAGATTTATTGTGTTGTTCAATTACCTAATGAAACAGTCATCTCTTTAATGGTGTTTCTCAGACTGTGAAAATATGAGAACATCATGAAATTCTGAGTTACTTGTGATTTGTCTTAATCTTGTAAGAGGAAGTCAAAATTATAGAGCCTGATTGGAGTCATTTCTCAAATTCTCATTTTTATCTTCAGTGGGATAATATTTTGTTCCTCATGAACAGTTTCTTTCGGTGTTGTCAGGAAAAACCAGTCTCTCAAAAATATCCAAACGCGTTGAATTTATTTTTGAAGGGAACGTTTCAATTCAAAAATAATTGCAAAATATTCAACTCTAAGCGGTTTTATTCCAAAAGGTTTTGAATAGAAATAAAGGTTGCACGACACCTAATCAAAGAAAGCTTCCTAATTCCCATTAATTTCCTACGTTGCCTTCAAAAATTGGTCTTCCTGTTCACAAAATAGGGAGTTTTGAAATGCCAAAAAATATACAAAAATTAAAATGAACCGGCCTAATGAATTGATTAAGGCTTTCGCGGCCAAGATTTTCAATGTTATGATCTTCGTTCGGATTTGAAGGCCGTTGTGGTTTCGAA